GGGGGGGGGGAATTAAAATTAAAGAAAAATGTGGGAGCTAATGGGAGACACATTCAAAACATAACAAGAAAAAAAAACATAAAAATAAATAAACATTGCTTCACATTAACAAGAAGATAGACTTCCGTGCAACCAGGAACAGAAAATCGTTCTAAACTTGGAGTTTTTAAAAATTGACATGAACGACAAGCATGCAACGCCTCACCGAGTAGTACGCCAAAACACTAAATTAAGGAGAAAAAAATTCCCGGGATTTTGAATACAGTTTTTGACAACAATTATGATAATAACAGGGGTGATTGTGAGCCCAACTCAAAAATCCTGAAACTTTCTTGAGTAAAATCCTAAATGACGCACTTCAAAAAATTCATGTCTTTTTAAATTTGAATCATTGATATTTTCAAAACATGAAATTCTAAATAAATCATATGCAGCATCATTTAAATGAATAATTTTGTATAAATTCACTTTTATCTCTAATCACATTCTACTAGAATACAACATTTACAAATGAGTGCCAAGTATAAATTCCTAGTTCTAATATTATTAAATAAAATATACAAGAATTTTTATGCATAAATGTGATCAATGATTTCTGGAAACTTCTGAACCTTGGATTTCGGAAAATTTCCCAATCACGGTTAGCGAGAAATCCGGACTTTTTTCGGAGCACAATCACCTCTGTCATAATCATAAGAAAACATGCATTCAACGAATGGATATTGAAAAGTAGCAGTCAGTTCCTCTAACAGGAAGGTGTCCACAAGTTGCTATCTTATAAAATGTTGAATCAAAAGAACTCACTTTTCTTAATAGTGTCTCAGAGTGGTCCAGTTGTTCTTTACTCTTTGAGAGTGAGTACTCCAGTTCCTCGACTTTCTCGTTTTGAGCCTCGACCTGATCCGACAACACATTCACCTACAAATAGATCCACTAGATGTATACTAACATTTATATACATGACAGATTGCATTTTCAGGATGATAAAGAAATGTACCTGAAGTGTGAGCTGTTGCTTCTCGATTTCAAGTTGGGAAATCCTCTGCTCCAAATCATCACACTCAAAACCTACTTCATTACCCTGAAATAAATAAGTTTCTTCATGTTATCAACAATTATTCATAATAACAAATATTCATTCATATATCAACATAATAGTGGGAAACTAAAGAATGAAACCATGCAGTTTGGCGTTTGAAACAGGCTGATTCAAAATATGCAATCCAGTTGTCTCTATCATCCACCATTTTTTAGAAAAAGAAAACACCTTCAACTCTTTATATGTCACTAGAGGTATTAAGTGTTACATTGAGAACTCATGACCATGGCATTAGTTGAGAAAGCAATGAGACACGTGACATATATACTTTATATAAATACGGTGAAACCTCCAGAAGAGACCACCTCTGAATAGCGACCCCTTTCAAGAGGAACTTTTTCCATAGACTTTGTGTTGAAGAAAAAATCTTTAGACCATAGGAACCTCTCCCGCAGACCGAGCAAACATCTGCATCAAATGCGGAAAAGGGTCAAATTAAGGAAACACGAAAGAAAAAAATCAAAACAAATAAGTAGAAGTATTCAAAATATTTGTGAGAGAGCTCTTTTTTATTTCTTCATGTTGCAGTGAAGAGTGCACTAAAGATAAAGACGATCATTGATTTACTTTTAGAGTTAAAAGATCAGGGGTCTGTCTAGGTTTTTCTGAAAGGTACCTATTTTGTGAAAATTTAGACATAATTTGTGAAAAATTAAAAATTATATTAAAAAATCAATACAAAAACATGGTAAAAATATAGATTTATTGTCTCTTAAGGGATACAAAAATAAAGTTTTAAGAAAAAGCATTTTGTGAAACTACCGTTTTTGCTAAAGTTGAATTTGTGAAACTACCGTTTTACCTAAAATTGAATTTGTGAAGGTACCGCTAAACGGTAGTAAATTCTGCCTGGACAGACCCCTGAAGATATAAAAAAAGTTATTTTAGAAAAAACAAGCATCTCAAAGAAACAAACCTCTCTTTAAAGCTAACTCATTTTTATGATATAAAATATAAATGCAAACTTAAACAAAACAACATAATTGTTTATTTATTTAAAGTAGCTCTTTACAATTGGTGAAATTGTTTTGACACATAATAATTACATCAGTTGGGGATCCTTTTTAAGAGACATTTTATTCATCGATCCGTCTTTTCATGAAGCCAACAAATCCGGCATTTCTGCACACCAAGGAAATGACATTTGACTGAAATTAAAATCGTTTGCGAAAAATATCAATTTTGAAATCAACCTCTATGAAGGACCCTTTTAGTGTGGAACGGGTCGCTCACGAGTGGTTTCACTGTATCTAGTTAAAGATGAAAATACTCCCTTCATCTAAAGTATATTTCAGAGCTGTTCAACGTTGTACCAAATGATAAATGAAAAAAAAAAGGCATTTAAAAGAAGAACCGAAAAGAAAATCCGGAAAAGAAAGCATCATTTTAACAATTATGGAACGGGGGGAAAAAGCAGCCGAAAAATCATCCCTCTTAACAGTTATATTAATTTAATTTAACGTAAAAGGGGCGTTGACCCCGAATTTAATGTTATTAAATATTTATTTCTTTGAAATTAGATTTTTTTAGTAAAAAGAAATTAGGTAGAGGATTAAATTAAGAGTTTTTTGCATTTCGTATAAGAAGCTCTCCACTTTTTTTAAAAATTCATGTCTAATTGTATTATGATAAAATAAGACACAGTCAATAGTTTTCTAATTTGTATGTTTTTTTAATAAAATTAAATATTTTAAAATAAAACACTACAGATATTTTGTTAAAATTTTTATCCTATCACAAAATGACACTCCTCAGAGGCAATTGAATTGCTAATGGATACATACTTACATAACAATGCTTATTAAGTACAGTGTATAACCAATTGTATTACGTATGCATTTAAAAAAAATATTATCAAAGCTCGTTTCTGCTAACTTCAAATTAAACTTAGTATATGAATCGGTTTTTAAAAAAGTGTTTCATTAAATTCGAATAAATATTTAATTATATTCAATTCGCGTTTAACAGCCTTACAACAAACTGGACATTCAATTCATGAAATTGTTAAAGTAGTGCATCTATTTTTCTTTTTTTCATTGCTCTTTTTCCCTCGTTTTTTCTTCAATGATTCTAGCAAATAATGTCACGCGTTCTTTGTGTGTAGTTGTTGTACAAGCAAATTTCATGAAAATGAATGAAACTTAAAAATTATTCCATGGACTGTTTGTTCCGAGAAAATTAAACGGTATTCCGTGAAATTAATATGGGTCTCCAAAACCTGACGTCATTGGAGCGGATTTTGAAAACAGTATAACAAACAGAAAAGTTAAATCCATAGTTTGTGCTATGAAGAGCCACAAAAGGGGGTCGAACTACTAAAAGCACGAGATTTTCATAGTCAAATTCAGGATTGGGTTTTTGACGTCAAAGTATCAACAACTGTAAAACAAACCTGGTTCCTTTTTTGTCATAGGGGACATTTTATGAAATATGAAAATCTTCTTAATGTTTTCGAATGTTAAAATATGATTTCTTCTTAATGTCTCCAAATGTTTTCTTCTTAAAAAAATATTTACTACTTATATATTTTTTGATTTCTATTAATTTTAACACATATTCTCGTTTATACTAAAATTGAGTAAAATCAACAACAACAACAAAATTTTTTTTTTCTTATACAAATTTAACTTTCCATTTCACAAAAAAAAAAAAAGATTTACGATAATAAATGGTCCTGTCACTCTTTCTTCATCTCAAGATGTTTTACGTTTATTGAGCGGGGATATAATAATAGTTTGAACAGTTGTCAATGGAAGCTTCGTTGTCAATGGAAGAATCTTAGTTTCAAAAGTGCAAAAATGTCTAACATCTATTTTTGGAGTAATTTTCAGGAAATTATTTAAAAAAAATAATAGAATGAAAATGAAACAAAATTCAGGGCGCTATATAGGAACGAACAAAGAGAGCGTTAAAATAACACTGTGAGTGACAGTAAATAGGACTTCAATAAAAAGCGTAGCCTATAAATGATTGAAATATATATAATTGAAAATATGATATAGATAATTGAGTTTAATTGAAATATGTTTACTAAACAGCAATGCGAAAATGTAGAGTTACTCATTCAATATATCGTCAGACAATGTTATTTGTTTGAAGAACATTTTCAAAAACTAAAATATCTTTAAAACAAATGTAGAACGAAGACAAACATTTATTTAGAATTTCATCTAAAATCGTCTGTAGTGTGTGCAAAAGAAAAAATATTACAAAATTAATTTTTTTCACGAAAGTAAAAAGAATCGTTTTCAAAATAAATAAATTCAGCTTTCATTTTTCTTTATCAATTAGAATACATTCCGCTTATTAGCATTTCTACTGTATAAGGGACCTTCATCAAAATGGTTCTTCTCTATGTAAAATCTAATCCAGTAAAAGAAAACGTTCTTTTTCATCACTGGAGCAGGGAAAGGCGATAGTTCATGAGGTCAGACGACTTCAAAGAGAGGACTTATTTCCTCTTTTTTTCTCGTTGGGAGTCACGTGAACAATAAAGAATGGTCCCATTTTTTTTTTTCTTTTTCTGACTCGTAAATCCACAGATTAACTTTCACTCTACTCATATTTCTTTAATTGTCTCCTCATGGTTAAATCCTGCTGTTGTTGCCATCACATCATCAGCCACTTCCATTTTTGAATCCATTATATTAAACCATTTTGTGTTAAACCCCCACCTCGTGTTTAATGAATATATTTTTTTTATTACATCAGTGCATATTTTAAGATACTTAAAGTAGAGTGGCACCCCTTCTCAACAGCCCAACTCTTAAGAAAAACTTAATCTTATTCTTAAAGTGCATGAAAACGTTCTTTTCTTTTTACATTCTTTCTTTTCTTAAACTCATTTATAAAACGTATTTACTGACCGTGTTGTCTCATATAAAATATAGCTTCCAGCTTTGGAAGATTCAAATCTCTACTTATATATATTTCTTGTTACTTCGATTTTCACTTCAACTCAAAATAATAAGAGGAACATATAACCACTGTATTTGTTGAACTAAATTTAAAAAATTTACTGGGGGGGGGGAGGTTATTTTTTAAAACCTTTTTTGGAAAGGTTAATTATTTTGATCATTTTAATTACAACCATATTAAATTTGAAAAAGACGTTCCAGTTTTTAAAGAAATCTTAAGCTTTTTCGCAACTTATTTTTTTACGATGTTAACAAGTCTTCCTTACAAATATTATATGAAGGGTATAATTCTTCAAATTTGGTAGAAGAATAAATTCCTTGGTTTGTGAAGAATAATGCCAACATTAATGACTTGAAGGATTTAAATAGGGGCAGAAGAAAAAGATTTTTTTGAATATACTGAAGAGCAATTGGAAACAAAATACTGAGATATGTGCATGCGTTGTGAAAAGTTTTATACATATAACCACTACGTATATATATACAGTTAAACCCCGCTATAGTGAATCTCCAAGGAACCGAAATTTCTGCTCACTATAACCGGGAGTTCACTATATCCGTTACGCGGGCAATTTAACTAATGGTTCCCAAACTCCACCCTTTTATTACACATTGTTCAAATAAATGACGGAAAAATATTATGTAGTAGCAAAAAATGTGTTATTTTCCATTATTATTTTGTCTTGCGTACAAAAATTTTTTTTTAATCTTTAGCTGATGAGCAATCCTCAACATCAGATATTGAAAAACTTCCCGACTCTCAGATAATTTTTCCTGAATTTCTGTTATCCTGCTTTTTAAACCTGTCTAACCTGCCATTCGAGAACATAAAAGTAGTCTCATAAAATCGCTTAGCAAATTCATCGACATTTGTTTAGATACTTCGATTGGAGAACCACTTCAGTAATGTTTCTTCAACATCCTTGTGATCTGCTTTTCTCAACTTTTTTCTGCCATCTAAATTTTTTTCATGAGCAGAAATTATTCATTGCCTATTTATCCATCTGTTACAAACTGCAGATATCAGCTTGATTGCATCCATTTTCAATTTTTCTGATTATGCCCATTTTATCATCAATGGAGAACGTTTTACGTTTACTGCTCGCCATAGTTAAATTTGAGACACTTGATTACAGGATTTTTTAAACTGAACTGAGAGCAAAAAGGAGTTGAAATGAGGGCCTTATCAACACATATTAGTGTCCAACCCTTTGACCAATAATGAATAATTGCTCATTCCCTCTGACAGAAAATGCATATTGATCCCACTGACAC